TTACTGAAGCATTTTCCCTTTTAAAAACTCATATTTTTTAAAATGTTTTTAAAGGATTTTTAAATTTTTTCCCAAAGGGAAAAAAAACCCAAAAAAGGGTTGGCTTTCCCCAAAGGTTTTAAAAAACCCTTTCAAAAATTAAAAAGGAAACTTTTCTTAAATGAATTTATTGCGACAAGTCTTAAATACATTTCTTCACCATCAAAAGGGACAGTGTTCAATCCAAACCTACCTTTGGACTTACTGATCTCCTTGGAAGGACTTAAATTTTGGCATATGATCAAAGATTCTGTTAATGGGAGGTTTACAATTATCTACAGCAAACCACACTTTGGGTGTGGAGCTCAAAATGAGTTAAAATAAAAAAAAGTATAATTGTCAATCCTAGCACATATAATTGTCATATGTATCTATAAAACTTGAGCTGTTTTGAACAAAATTCATATTTAAACGTCTATAACGATAATAGACGTTGAAATATGATTTTCTTTTTCAAAACAGCTTTAATTACGTTTTATTGATACATTTGACAATAATATGTGCTGGGATTGACAACTATACAATTTGTTTCAATTTTAACGCATTTTGAGCTCAACACCCAAAGTTTCTGTGCAACAAAACTGTCTCACACAAAAACTGACAATATTTTGTTGGCCTGTTTTTAGACAATTTAGTAGGTTCCTTCAACATCTGATGGAATTTCAACACCATTTGCAATGTTAAAAAGTTGAGAAGGTGGATAAAGATAAAGAAAATGGATCGATAAAGGTGTCACTTTGGAATACACTTAACATCTTTTTGAAAGGTGTATCTGTGTGATGTTTGTTTGAGCAAGAATTTTTGTCAGACGTGTAAGCCATGCCATACTTCGCAATTAATGGCCTTGCAAGAAACCAGTGAGAGAGAGCACAGTCATTACTATGGGTTAGACCTATAATGCCTCCAGGGGATTCCAGTGCTTTATTTTCCTTGACTTCAAGGATATAGCCAACTATACAGAATAAAACACCCAGTACTTAGTTTAGCAACAAACTTGCCTTCTTAACTCAACTGTAAATCTGTAATTTTCTAACAGCAAAAAGGCCCCGAAACTTGAATATATTGTTTTTAAAAGGAAAAAAAAACAAAAAAGGGCAAAAAATATTGATGTTTCATACTGATTTTGTTGCCAAACCATGCATTGAAGATGCCAAATAAAGTTAATTTTAAGGAAACCCGTGAAAATAATCTAAACAGTGATTTAAATACTTCTTTCATAAAAAATTTATTCAGAACATGAAAAAAATATTAATTTTTTTCCCAAAAATTTTCTAATAAAAATTACTTGGGTTACCCCTAATGAAACGATAGGCTTCTTTTTTAAAAATATAAAAGACTATTTATAGGGTTTTGTGTACCCGTTTGGGAAGGCCCATGCTCCCTTTTTTTTGGGGGTGGAGGGGTTTCACAATTCAAACTTTCTAAAATATATATAAAAAAAAAACAGGTCAAGATAGAAAAGAGTTGATAAACTTAACATTTCTTTTCATAAATTATGCATTCTAAATTACCCAAAAGAATTCATATCTTTGAAAATTAAATAAGTAAACTTTTCTTTATTTAACTGGAAAAAAATTGCCATGAAAATACCAACGTGCAAATTTTTATATTCTATCATGTTCAGCGAAATAAAGAACAACGTTAAAAGTCGATTATAACAATGAATATCAAAGGTGAGCTTCAATTAATATCCAAAAAATCTTCAATTGGTAGGATAACATGAAATTCCTGCAGAAAATATATTGTTAACCCACTGCTTAAAGCAAACTTTCCTGCGAAAGCTTCTTTTTTATCAACACATTTTTATAAGAAAATAAAATCATACATGTAAATTTGTTTTTATTGATATGTTTAACTTTGTACAGTCACTACAGTGACTTGAATATGTAATAAATATTAAAAATGCATCCTTTTATACGCAAAATGTTAGCCATGTAAAGTTAGGAGTGAAGTTCAGTATCCAAAGCGGCCATCTTGGCGGCCATCTTGGATTTCTCTGAATGCCACCATTTATGCCAATTTATGCCGGTGGTTTCATAAACTACAAACTTTAACGAACATTTTGGTATATAACATTGCTTGTTGCAATGACCGTCCCACCTACCCTATTTTTTATCAGACTTTTCAGGTCATAGTCACTCTACCATTACTTTTAATTCTTTTTAATGTTACATCAAGAGACAATCGTAACATATTTAAATGATAAAAGTAATTTTAAATTTAGTCTAAACAGTATCTCATTGTTGTCTTTACAAAGAAGTGTAAATTAAAAAACATTTAAGGAAACGGTTTACGCCCATGGGAGGAAACTCTACATCATGAAATGTAAATGAAATTTATTTTATGGCTTTTGTAACATGCTACATGATGACCAAAAGGAAACGGTATGGCAAAGAACAGAAGAATTCCATTTGAATATTAAAATGTTTCATACGTTTAATGATCATGAAGGATCAATACGTTTATTGAGTTAATAGTGTTAATTTCATTTACACCCTATATATTGGCCTCTTCATAACAGGCATGGCTGCCGTGTCTATTTCTAGTGACAAACTGGGCTTTTCAAATATCTTAACATTGCCATTCAATAGTGGTAGTTTCCTTGCTGGTTATTTAAAGATTAATTTCAATTTACGACTTCGAAAAAATTGAAACACAATGTCCGGTAAATTGAGTTGTTTACACGATTTTTCCCCTTTTAATGCCCTACTTTAAAGACACATTTTTAAGGTAAAATGTTTAATTTTATTTTTGATAAAGGAATGTTAACGTGCTTTAAAAACCCAAAATTATTTGGGTAAAATTTCATTCTATTTTATTATTCTAAATAAAAGTTACAGATAAAAAGCTACATATTTTGTCCGGTAATATGTAGGACCCCAGTACCGGTATTTTGTTTCCAACTTGTTTATTTTTCTCTCTCTCTCTTAAAACTACGTACACTCTCATATATATAGGCACTCGTTTTAGATACTTAATAAATAAATAAATTTTCAAAAAAAAAAAGAAAATGAATATAGAATGAAAGTTAAGACCATAAGCTTCAAGTATATTAAGAAAAGTATTTATGCTGAAAAAAAACTTATTAAAGGTTACACATATGTGTTACTGATATAAGTACTTTCTTAATTGATTTCGGAAAGGAAATCTCGGTGCCCGCTTTAAAATCGTATTTTTTTCAAATACTCGCGTAGTTTTTGATGAAAATGAAAATTTGTGCAAATACATTTTCCATGATACTAATACAAATATTGGCTGGTTTTTAGATTATGAATTAATTACTCGCTTGAAGTTGCATGGTCATTAAATTTCTTCCCTAAAAATTTCCAAATCGCCAAACGAGGTTAAATGATAAGTTAGTGCATAAGTTATCTTAATCAAATGATAAAATCAGCAATTTTCAAGTGATGTAGCTAGTCATAAAACTTTTGTAACTAATGCAACAAAAAATATGTTAGAACGAATGCGGCGTGTTTTCCTTAAGCTTTATTTAGAAATAGGGGAGAGGCGCCGGGTTTTATACCTGTCCGCAATAGAAGTTCGTAAAAATTCAAAGACGGGCATGACTTACAATCGTTTAACTTTGTGAATATTAAACATGTTACTGTGTAAACGTACTCTTGAAGATTTAGAACTGGAAACACGTTTTCTTAAACTCTATTTTCTGTGTTCGAGTTTTACATTTTATTTGTATATCTCGGGTACAGATATCTTCTATAAGTGTGCAAGCTTGCAAATGTATTGTATGCAATGGAAGATACGAACTTGTAAATTTGTTGTTGCTTTCCATGTTATTTTCTTATATAAAGGCGGAAACCTGCAATTAAAAGATTGGATTAACAGGCATATAATGTGCTATGCACGGATTCAATAAAAATGGTAGGCATACAAGTTCGCATTTTTAAAAGTAATGTTTAAGTCTTGAATTTTGGCAACGAACGTTAGACGTTACCCTTTGGCATCTAATGCTTTTGTTTTTTGTTTTGTTTTTTTGTTGTCCAATTACGAGATAATTTCTGTCGAGTCCAGTTGGAAATAATTTAGAGACTTCACGGAATAGACGTAACATCATATGAACTTTGGATGGAATGATGTTCCATTCAAAACATTAAATATCCCAGACAAAAACACGTTTTTTTCACCCCTCAGCTGTTAACACGAAGTTCTGATAATCAAAGTTTAAAGCTAAGTTTTTGATGATGTGTGTTAATAAAAAAACACACACCAAAAAACATGTTTTTATCATTGAAAATGAAGCTGTGCTCAAGTCCCAGTAGTCTCCGTAAAAATGGTATTTAGTCGGTGCTTTGGAATAATGTATTTCAGTAAAGATGCTATAATGAATTTATTTATTTAACACGTTATAAAATACAACAATGCACTTCGAGCATTTGAACCACGTGATGTTCCAATAGAAAACATAATAGCGCCACCTCCAATATAGGTTTGACAGCTGTGTACGCCAATAGAATTCAGTATTGAACTAACTTCACAATTGCATCGGTAGTCAAGACAGTATCGTCTGTTTAATATTAAACGACACTTGGCGGCAAGGCTTGAACAAGTCTTGAATACGTTAGTAAACTGTGCCGCAATAGTGTGTGTGTTTAGTTTTGTTTATACTTGGCGCCGGCTTAGACCAAGACTATCGGCCTCTGTTACGTCGCTGGTCGTAGAGCCTGCAACGGAGGACTTAGTTCGTCTGCAACGTCGCCGATCGTAGAGCCGCAACGGAGGTCTTCTCATGCCGTCTTTCGTCGTACGTAGATCTTTTCTAGAACCCAGTTCTTCGATCTTGAACGCAGTAGACAATATAGAGGAAAGGCACCTCTTCCGGGAGCAGCAGCTCTTTGTAGGGTCACACCCTTCGCTATTGGTTAGGTCACACCAGCTAAGTGACCTAACTAGGTCACCCATCTGATGTGACCTTTGCCTTCCGAGCGACGTGCACGCGCGAAGGGATGTCGGAAGGTACCGCAATAGTATCGACTGAGTTGCTATATACCGGTCTTATATCGTTGCACCTCTGCATGGATATAATTATTTTAGTATGTTAATCGATATGGCGATGTGTATGGTCTCACCTTTGATACAGTCATTTTTTCAATTCGACACCATTTTTGACATTGTATCGCCTTAGTCAATGGAAAGTGAGAATCTGTCATTACAGGTATCTCAAATGAAATATAGATTGTAACGTTATACATATGTATGTACATGTAGTTTGTTTTCCTGTCTACTTAGAAAAAGACGCGCATAAATCTCGGAAAAAAGATGACTTCAAAATATGTGCTATTATCAATGATTATTTTATTTGTGACAATGATTTGGGTTTTTCACGGTGAGTACTGCGGATAATTTATACTTGCGTAATTTCTTTAATATTTTACATATTTTCAGTTGTTTTTCCTCTAAGAATTAAGTTTTATAGTACTCTAGTAATATTTCAGAAATTTCCTTTCAATCACTACAGTATACCATTGCACGCAGTTAAATATTTTAATTGATTATACACTTATAAATGATAGATTGAGAAATATTGATGAAATAAAATGCATATTTTTATTTTCCGTATTTTCACTGTAAAAATTTATTTTTCACTTATATTTTCCGTATTTTCACTGGTGTCTTGCCGGACTACTTTCTTTTAAATTCAGCTAAAAACAAAATTAAAAGGGAATTCTTCCTTATTTATAAGGTTAAAAAGGAAAAAAGTATATAATAAACAGAAAATTCAAGTTTTTTCTATAAATACAAGATTTATTTTCATGTTGTGGTATGAAAATTATCATATTTCACTCGTGGCTACTGCCACCCGTGAAATATTTAGTTTAATACCACTCGATAAAAATAAATCATGTATTTATAGAAGAAACTTGAATATCCTCTATTGATTATTTTTTATAAATTTTTCTTCTTGATATGGTGCATTTGTAGTTTTAGTATATAAGTAAATTGGTAAGAAATTGAATATTTGGGTGGGAAATTGAATATTTGGCTGGACAATTAAATATTTGGATGAGAAATTGAATATTTGGATAGAAAATTGAATATTTGGGTAGAAAATTGAATATTTGTGTGGGAAATTGAATATTTGGGTGGGAAATTGAATATTTTGGCGGGAAATTGAATACAATGTTAATTTAGCCCTTACCCTGCCGAATTTTTGTAATGGGGTTTTCTTGCTTTGAATTTTTAGCAGTACATTCTAAGTTCATTATAAAATACAAAATCTAGCCACTAGCATCACAGAGCCTGGTCATACGTCGCCCGCCAACTTACCTCAATAGGGGAAGCATTAGATGTATAATCCAGGAGATTCTGGTTGAATCCTCGGGCAAGGCTAAATTTCGAGACGAAATTTCTTGACAATTGATCTCGGTCATTAAATATGAGCTTATTCAAAAATTATGTGCGATTAATATATTATTATATAAATGATCACTTTCGAAGAAATTATTTACATGTATTATACCGGCGAGTTATCCAGGAATCCTGAGGGACCGATCCCCGAGATATGACAAAATGTGCCATTGGTCTACAATGGAAGATCTTTGATATAACAAATAATTATGTTGATTGTTAGGTCAAACAATATAACAAACAAGAGGAATTATGTAAATAATTATACATAGATTCTGTTGGCAAGTGTGAGATATAAGATACGATATTACATATATTTATACATGTAAATCAAATAATAAAATGTTCTAGAATAAAATATCATTATTCATCATTCATGTCCATACTAAATCATTTAAAACTTCATCAACACTTTTTTTTCAAGCAGTTATTTATAATAATATTAAAATGATGATAAATTTTATTGTTTTTTTATATCAATATTTGATAGACATATTGAAAATGTGCCCACTTTAAAATCGATGTAAAACCAAAACAAATAAACATGGACCTACATAAAGAACGCATGGAAGTAATAGCTTGCAACTGCCACAATCTTTGCTGTTTATTATTTTTGAAGTATTAAATTTCTTCTCATTCTTGTATAATACGCACATTTTATTACCCTTTATCATGTAACCTTTAAAATTGTTGAAACTTGAAATGAAATATCAGCATTGATTTCCGTAGAACATTAATTTACAAATATTTTATTTGTAATGTTTTCTTTGTCTACAGCTGTGAAAATTTTGATTCATGTCTTTAACAGCTACAGGGAATCTCTATATTATTCATCCTCAGATAGAAATAACAATATTCAGTGTCACATTGCACAATTGATACACCCAATACCTAGTGTTCTATAAGGTCTGATAGTCATATTACCCGATCTATATGAGAATTACTTCATTGCAAATGTAACAGTATTTGTTAATGGAATCCAGAAAATGCAATCCCTTTTGAATATTTTCATCTAAAACGCGATATGACGGAAACTTTATTAGTTATAAAGATTGTTGACAGGTTATATATGGCCCTATATAACGGCAGCATGTATTTGTAAATATAACCCGAGCCGCTAGGCGACGGTTATATTGCAAACAGCCGTTTATATACGGCCATATAACCTGTCAACAATCTTTATAACGAATTTATAACACAGCAAGCATCATTTTTAAGAGAAAAAAGTACGATTTCTTTATGAATCGACAGCAGCCGTGTATATAAAACTATATAAACATCACGATTATCCAATGAAAAGCGACGTTACAAACTTGCAATATTATAAAGACTGCTGGCCGCGGCGGTTCACCGGCGCTGTTTCTACGGGTTGTTGGATTTGGAATATAGCTGGATCTATAAACTGAAAACTTGATTTCCATTGGTCAATCGTGTCGTTTATACTATAGTTTTATATACGGCTGCCGCAAATTTGCGAAGACCAGCCGGGCAATCCGTGCTATGAGATCATGGTCTGCACATTTCGCTATTCAGTCAGTACCCGTATATATTCGCTATTCAGTCAGTACCCGTATATATTCGCTATTCAGTCAGTACCCGTATATATTCGCTATTCAGTCAGTACCCGTATATATTCGCTATTCAGTCAGTACCCGTATATATTCGCTATTCATTCAGTACCCGTGTATATTCGATATTCATTCAGTACCCGCGTATATATACATGTATTTGCTATTCAATCAGTAACCGTATAAATTCGCTATTCAGTCAGTACCCGTATATATTCGCTATTCAGTCAGTATATATTTTGAAATTGTCCCTAAAATTGATTAATGGTTTTGTCCAGATTGAAAGATGGGCAAACTTGTTCATTTACGATATTTAACGGGTGAAGATGGTTTATATTTTATTGGCTTCTCCTTAAATGAACACAGATAATGACTGGATTGTACAATCATGCTAGTTGTAACGATTTCTCAAGTATCGCATACGCTAACACACTTCTTCTTTTATTTCAGGATATTTTAGAAATGAACATCAATTTATATACTATCAAAACGACAAAGTTACACCATATAGCGCTGTTTCATACGGTTATAAAGCAGCAAATATTTCTGAGGACAGCAAAGAGCGAGATGCATTATTCGAGAAACGGCAAATGGACATTTCAGAAAGCTGTGAAAAATTCAATTATTCCATCGCCTCCAATGTTCTCTTAATTGATAAAATACATTCCATTTATTACTGTCCAATCCCGAAGGTAGGATCCACGTTTTGGAAAAGAAGTTTAGAAGTACTGACAAGTCAAGGAAAAATCAAATCTCCGTTTGATTTGACTTTAAATGATATCAAATTGTTGTCAAAATCGAAACATCTTTCCACGAGGGAATTAGAAGACCTGACCGAACAAGGAACTTCATTTATGTTTGTGCGAAACCCTTATGCGCGTTTGTTTTCTGCATATGAGAACAAGATTTATTGTCCCAATTTAATGTTCTGGAAGTCCACGGGGAGCCGAATCGTAAAATTAGTAAGATCCAGTCGTGATCATGTTCACTCAAAATATGGATTTGACGTTACATTCTATGAATTTATTAAATACATTTTATATCAGAATGAACGGGGTAAAACAATCAACGGCCACTTTCGACCGATGATTAACATTTGTAATCCGTGTCAAACGCATTTTGATTACATCGGTAAATTAGAAACATTTGCAGATGACGCAAAATTCATTATAACCAAATGGAAGAGCAAGTTTGACGATATCAACATAACATTTGGTGAAAAGGAAAGAACTATTGACACAGTGAAAGGTCATTTACGATTTCTGTATCAAGCTAAAAGGATAGTCAATACAATAAAAATTCCATTTACTAAATTAATGCTGCGAACGTGGAGAGATTTGCAAATTCGTGGCCTCCTGTCAAAATCTATAGCATTTCCATTTAATGCATCCGATAGTGGCGAAATCACAAAGACAGACTATCTAAACGCCGTGCTGGAAGCCCTAGAAATTCCGGTAAATCATACAGAGGTGAAATTGCAACGACACGAAGCCCTTGTGCAAGCTTATAGACAGGTTCCTATGGCAGACATGGAGAAATTAAGAACTTACCTGCTAAAAGATTGTTTGATATTTAATTACGAAGATCGACCAAAGGATTTGTTTGATCGTTCCGTGCCTTTAAACGATACTTTCTTATATATTGACGGACTGTGAATAAACACAGTCTTACTGCTGAAGTGCCTTTAAACGGTACTTTCTTGTATCTGTAGAAAAAAACCAAGCATTTCTGTTAGAATTTCCGAATGAACAGGTGATGCATGCGTGAATTCATAGCTTCAGCCTGTCCGTTACGTTTTATTCTGTTTTTCTTATTTACTTTATGTGCGCGTTCAACACAACAAAAAGTTTTGCCATATATATGATAGATGAATATAATGTATAAAAAAAGGTTTCAACCGTATTACTGGCCATTCCTCTGAGATACAAAAGTACATGGCGATATTATTAAAACATACAGTCGCTCTACAATCGTATCAATACACAACATGACTTTCGACATTTTAACATTTGTAAAATATTTCCCTACATATACTGTATATCGTTTAATTTGTTAAAAAAGAGCAAATTTAGAGCATTAATATTAGTAAAATGTTAATATGAGCCACCGCAAGACGGTGACCTAGCTCCAGCGTTTTCTTATATCTAAAGACAATTAAACGCATTGAAGAAAGAGTAGTGCAGTAAAGAATACTCCTAGAAAGCATAACCATTTTGATCTAATTACATGTATTATCCAAATTTAACATTTTACCCCATGAGCATATTGCGAAAATTGGCCGTTTTCATTAAAAAGCCTCCTGTAACAAGTTAAAACTGCTATGAAACTATGAAAAATGCTTCAATACTGATGAAACTTTGCACAAATGTTGACTAGACCATAGCCTCTGTAACAGCATGCTCAAAAGTTTTTGTTACCATGGCAACGGGGGACGTCTCAATATTGCCAAAAATCATTATTTTGCATTGTTTTTTCCCCATCAAAACTGATTTCAAAGTGCTGCAACTTCTCAATGAATTTAGATAGAGTAAAAGGCTTTTCAGTGTCGGTTACTAGTTACCCTAAGATCGACCTGAGGCCATTTTAGCCTGTCACATGTCCAAAATTTTCTTTGCGATGAGGGGGGACTACCGCCCCCCTTCAAACCCCCTTTTGGCAACCCCCTGATGTAACATTTGGATGGAGGCGGCGCCGAAAAAGTGGTAACTTTTTTATCAACATTTCTCAAATGAAAAACAGTGTTTTGGGCCTCAACAAGATTGCATTTGTAAAAATGCCATTCCACCGCATAAATACAACACCAAATAGTAATGTAGGAACACATTTTTTTTTTGTTTCTATACAGATTGCCATAATGCATAGATCACTTACCTATCTGTTATTATTAGATTAGTACCTTCGGAAATAAGATTTTCAATTTTTTACTTTATGACATAGTGACTGAAAATCAATGATCCCCAGGGGCGGGGCCAATTTTCTCCCCAGGGCTTTAATTTGAATAATCTTGCTAGAGGTTCATCACACAATGTTTAATGCAAAATGTCTAACCTCTAGCCTTTGTCAATCAGAGAAGATTTTTTAAAGTTTTTACTATATACATGTAAGGAAAACCTATGACCCCCGGGGCGGGGCCAATTTTGACCCCAGGGCTATAATTTGTACAATCTTGCTAAAGGTTCACTACACAATGTTTCATGCAAAATATCTAACCTCTAGCCTTTGTGAATTTAGAGAAGATGATTTTTTAAGTTTTTACTATATACATATAAGGAAAACCTATGACCCCCGGGGTGGGGCTGATTTTGACACTAGAGGCAAAATTTGAATAACTTTGGTAGAGTACCTATAGATAATAACACATACCAAATATCAAAACTCTAAGCCTAGTACCTTCAGACAAGAAGGTATTTTAAGGTTTTACTATATGTACATATAGTGAAAATCAATGACCCCCGGGGCGGGGCCGATTTGGACCCTAGGGCTATAATTTGAACAATCTTGGTAGAGGTCTACCAGACAATGCCTTATGCAAAATATCTAAGCTCTAGGCCTTTTGGGCTTTACAAGAAGATTTTTTAAATTTATTCTTATAATTCCTTTTGGTTGCCATGACAACCAGATTTCTCCATGGAATGAAATTATTTGAACAACTTTGGAAGCCCTTCACCCAAGGATCAATCCTGTCAAGTTTGGTTGAAATTGGACTAGTGGTTTTTCACAAGAAGATTTTTTAAGTTCACTATATAATCCTGCCAAGTTTGGTTGAAATTGGACTAGTGGTTTTTCACAAGAAGATTTTTTAAGTTCACTATATAATCTTTATAACACACACACACACAAACATACACACACACACACAGGTGAATCGCTATATGCCACCGCATCGCAGATGCTGCGGTGGCATAAAAAGGGGGGGGGGCAAAAAGCCGTCGAAAAACGTCTATATCAGGTAAAAAGGTTAATACTTGACCTTGACAGTCAAGGTCACATCACATTATAATTTATCATCATTGGCAGTTTTTGTAGTGAATCAATAGGTGAAGGTCAAGATCAGTCCGGCAACAAGCATGACTGTAATAGCGTTTTTTCCTTCGAAGTCAAGTCGAGCCAATAAAAAAGGAATTAAAAATAGTAGTCACTGACGACCTTGTGTGCAAAAAAAGGTCCATGGATAAATGTTATACCACATATTTGAAGTTTACAAAAATTAAGGTAGACCTGTAAAATTCATGGTACGCCTTGAGAAGTCCAAGATGGCCGCCAAATTATTGAACAATGGTTTATACCCATTTTATCTGATAAAATAAGTTTTTTTATATCTATTTTACTGTAGGTAGTGATAGAACTTCAAATTCTATTGGAACAATATGAATATGTGACAAAATGTGTTTTTAATACTATATAGGGGGTATAGTTTGGAAATTATCGTTTATATTGATAGAATGCCTATTGGCATGAAGATAAATAGAAGAAAATTTCACATTCTGAAAAGAAAAATAACTGAAGTTAATAATAAATTAGCCCCCAAAAAGATAGTTTAATTACTTTGATGGCATAAAAAATAACAAAATCATAAATGTCAAAATTATTCATAATTATATAAAAATGTATTTTTATTAACAATATTAATTTATCTCATATAATAATCAGCACTTATCAAATCTCATTTCAGTTACTGTGCATTTTATTATCTTGAAAATTAAACCATATGCCATAAGCTTCAATACCATTTAACATGATAAGCTTTTCAAGTGACTTAGAGGTACATGTTCTAAAAAGTAAGCTTATAAAGAAGATCAATACATTTTCCACTGTAAGCTGATTAAGTAGGTCAAAGTTTAATATTTTCCTCTGTAAGCTGATTAAGTAGGTCAAAGTTTAACATTTTCCACTGTAAGCTGATTAAGTAGGTCAAAGTTTAACATTTTCCACTGTAAGCTGATTAAGTAGGTCAAAGTTTAACATTTTCCACTGTAAGCTGATTAAGTAGGTCAAAGTTTAACATTTTCCACTGCAAGCTGATTAAGTAGGTCAAAGTTTAATATTTTCCTCTGTAAGCTGATTAAGTAGGTCAAAGTTTAACATTTTCCACTGCAAGCTGATTAAGTAGGTCAAAGTTTAACATTTTCCTCTGTAAGCTGATTAAGTAGGTCAAAGTTTAACATTTTCCACTGTAAGCTGATTAAGTAGGTCAAAGTTTAACATTTTCCACTGTAAGCTGATTAAGTAGGTCAAAGTTTAACATTTTCCACTGTAAGCTGATTAAGTAGGTCAAAGTTTAACATTTTCCACTGTAAGCTGATTAAGTAGGTCAAAGTTTAACATTTACCACTGCAAGCTGTATAAGGAGGTCAAAGCTTAACGTTTTCGACTGTAGGCTAATAAAATAGGTCAAAGTATAACATTTTCCACTGTAAGCTGATATAGAAGTCAAAGTTAAACATTTTCCACTGTAAGCTGTGAAGTAGATCAAAGTTTTTACGTTTTCTACTGTATAAGCTTATAAAGTAGGTCAAAGTTTAAAATTTTCCAATGTTAGCTGAAAAAGTAGATCAAAATATAATTTTCCACTGTAAGCTAATAAAGTAGGTCAAATTTTAATATTTTCCTCTGTAAGCTTATAAAAAAGATCCAAGTTGTAAGCTAATAAAGTAGATCCAAGTAAAACATTTTCCACTGTAAGCTCATAAAGTAGGTCAAATTTTAATATTTTCCTCTGTAAGCTTAAAAAGTAGGTCAAATTTTAATATTTTCCTCTGTAAGCTTAAAAAGTAGGTCAAATTTTAATATTTTCCTCTGTAAGCTTATAAAAAAGATCCAAGTTGTAAGCTCATAAAGTAGGTCAAAGTATAACGTTTTTCACTGTAAGCTCATAAAGTAGGTCAAAGTTTAATGTTTTCCACTGGTAGATTCAATTTTAAATTTCTCCACTGTAAGCTCATAAGTATGTCAAGCTCAGTTTTGAAGTTCTTTCATGTCAGCTCATGAAATTATAAAGCTCAGTGTTCTCCACTCGGTAGCTGGTTAAGATTATCTATAACAAAAAAAGTGTTTTGTTTTTAAACAATATAAAACAAGAAACATGGCAATGCCATGAAACCAGGTTTTCAATTATCACCATTGTAGATAAATATGTTGTATTTGAAATACAAATACAAGCAACAAACAATGTAACTATGTGCAATGTAAAACATGAATAATGTAGGAGGAATTGTGCACAGAAGAAGTGTTCACTATATATATTCTGTATAAGGAAAAAAAACAAAGGGCCATAATTAGGTAAAAAATTATCCAATCACAAAACCCCGACAATATGTGCTAGGGCACTTGATGACAAAGCTTCTGTGAAAGTTTGAACAAAATCCATTGAGAAATGTAGGAAGAGTTCAGCACAGAAGAATTTGTTCAATTCTGTATAAGGAAAAAAAACAAAGGGCCATATTGAGGTCAAATATTATCCAATCACAAAACCCTGACAATATGCGCCAGGGCACTTGATGACAAAGCTTCTGTAAAAGTTTGGTCAAAATCCGTTGAGAAATGTAGGAGAAGTTGCGCACTGTAGAAATTGTTCACTATATATTCTATATAAGGAAAAAAAACAAAGGGCCATAATTAGGTCAAATATTATCTAATCGCAAAACCCCGACAATAATCGCCAGGGCACTTGATGACAGAGCTTCTGTGAAAGTTTGGTCAAAATCCGTTGAGAAATGTAGGAGGAGTTGCGCACAGAAGAAATTGTTCACTATATATTCTATATAATGAAAAAAAACAAAGGGCCATAATTAGGTCAAATATATACCAATTGCAAAACCCTGACAATATGTGTCAGGGCACTTGATGACAAAGCTTCTGAGAAAGTTTGGTCAAAATCCGTTGAGAAATGTAGGAGGAGTTGCGCACAGAAGAAATTGTTCACTATATATTCTATATAAGGAAAAAAAACAAAGGGCCATAATTAGGTCAAATATTATCTAATCGCAAAACCCCGACAATATGCGCCAGGGCACTTGATGACAAAGCTTCTGTGAAAGTTTGGTCAAAATCCGTTGAGAAATGTAGGAGGAGTTGCGCACAGAAGAAATTGTTTACGCCCGCCCGCCCGTCCGCCCGCCGACATACCTCAATCTAATAACCAGTTTTTTCCTTCGGAAAACCTGGTTAAAAAACCTGGTTAACAATTTAACCTTTGAAAATTAATTTGCTTACTAGTTTATTTCTCTAATGTATGAAGTGTCTGTAAAATAAAATCTGTTCTTTTAATTGTCTGAACAAAGTGCAGATACCCACCAAATATGAGTGGTAAATCAATGTTGAAAAGTTGAGTTTGTACTTCATTAAATATAAAAAAAAAAATGACAGGTTATATGGCCCACTATATAACTGGGATTTTAGCTTATATAATACAAACAACTAGGCCAAGTTTATATAACAATCAACAGTTTATATTCAGCCATATAACCTGTCAATTATGTGTAAAGGTCAAATGGTAATTTTCAGTAGAACCATGGCCTCTTTGATTATTAACAATTCAAAGGGTATATGGCTTAATTTGTGAAAAATATTTGATAATAATCAGTGACAAAACCATTGCCAATATTGAATAAACAACAAGATGAATTTTAAGCTAGGAAATGTTATTATTTCACAGATCTAAAACATATTTTATCTTCAGAATGATTGTATTTCTATATTTTTGAGAAAAAAAATCCAACTTATGTCAAAGAAATGTCTTGTGTTATTCAGTAAGAAAAATAAACCTATAAATAGTGTGCAATGTTTGTTGACATAATACTTACATAAAATATCACTATATACTGCTTGAAGATAATCACGGGAGTTCTGATCCCTCATATTACCTGCTGCAATATTTAGTTCATACCCTGGTCCATAATTCATCAAATACTGAAATATATACTGTTAATCAAAACATTTATACTGGAAAATTTGCTTAAAACAATGTTAAATGCATTACAGAATGTAATATATTACACATATATCTTAATATATCATAATTAACACAACATACACATATTTTAATTAATAAGAATAATAATTTCATTAGAATGATGAAATAAGAATTAAAAGCATTTTGATCAGGAATTTTACTTGACTCCAGTTGATTTTGAAAGGCCACAGCCCATTCAATGTCTTTAAGATTCAAGTTTATTTCAAGAAAGCCAAATTCAAGTGTTGAAGTCACTAAGCAAATCTGGGTAAATGGATATTTGCCTCCCCCTACAAATTTCCAGGCAAGAATAAACTTTTAAAGATCATTTGTTAGAATGACAACCTGGCCCCGTGTTCACAAAGATTTAAGGATCAGGATCAAGATCAGGATCAAATTAAAAAACTCATATATTTTCCCTTGCATATCCTCATAGATTAAGTATTAATAATATCAACTTGATAAAACTGGACTTGAAATAACATGTTTACGAAATTTTAGAATAAATTTATTGTTATTTTTGTAAGATACCAGCATTTTACAGTTGATCCAAATATTGATCTTGATCCTAAAATTGATCCTTATTTTGATCCGATTATTTTTGTATTTGTTTTGTAATTTGCTGTGCTTATCCAAAAAAAGGTTGGTTTCGTTGTAAATCAGCATTTTCTTACATTTTGAATATGTACCATTTAATTCTAGCAAAATATGATAAATTTTAGGAACATAAAACAATGAAAATAAAATCAGGATCACTTGATCCTGATCCTGATCTTTTCTTTGTGAACGCCTGGGGCTACCATATTGAAGATGACTTTTGTTATTTATCATTGTTAATAAGTGCAGTAACACACATATTGCTTTTAATTTTCATTTCTGCCATATAATGCACAGAATTGAAGTAACTATCACACAGTTCTTGTGGTTTTATTTTCATATTTCTGCATAATCTACTGTACACTTACTCTATGTTCCGGAAGATCGTTACTAAGTTTTCTACCTACAGCTACACCTGTCAGATATGTCCAACATCGAGCTGTGTTCTCATGATTATAACCACCTTAAATCATACAAATAAAAATATTATTTCTTCTTTCGTTGCTAGTTTGATTAGGGCTGTCATTGAATATTGCGATATTGATATATCATCGATATTCATCATCCCATACATTATCGATACACACTTTCACATATCCATACAAGCTAAAAAAAATTATATCTGGTAGTTTATATACCTCATTATTTTGGCTTGTAAGAGAAGTCACTTATTTCTAGTTTTCTTGGCTAACTTGAACTTTAAACTCCGTTTTTAAATGTCAGTGACAAGAATAACAGAAAAAACAAACTTTCTGCTAGTATGTACTATTTGTGATGCGTAATACAAGCATGCATAACACCATGATCCCAAATTAAAACACATATATATACCTAAATGTTTTTCATTGAATCTACTGTCAGAGTTGATATATCAATGTATTGCTGATATTTGTCTCTTGATATATCGATACAAAAGTTTCCATCAATGACAGCCCTAAGTTTGATGTTTAATTTTGTTTTAAGTACTGTATAAGTACTTATTTTGGCGGGGGTTTATATTTGGCTATATTGGCGGTCAGGGTCAGTAGCGCCAATTCAAAACACCACCAATTTAAAGCACTGCCATTTTAGATCATCGCCATTATTCTTTGAAAGGTAGACAACTCATGGTAAAATAGCTTTGGTTTGTCCAAGTAATCTCCCTTGATTATTTGTAATAAAAATAAACATTACAAGTAAGCTGAAAAGAATTTGTTTATTTTTAAGTCTTGGTACGAAACTCATTTAATTATATATCTATATACTGTATTTATTACGAAGATGATCACACGACGAGAAACAAATCTAAATGTCATTTATTATCGAATTTAAGTAAACTAGTATTTGTTTTGTTTTCACTGTTATGTTTCATAATTTGAAATAAAACTAATGATAACTGTAATTATATAGCAATCAGTTGTGGTGACCGTGAACAATTTTTCACGCTTTAAAGACTGCAGGATAATAGGGCATACCTTCCTCTTCCATGGTCCAGTTACCACACGGTACCATATTTACACCTGTCTGATCCCAGTTTATTATAAGAATTAGCACGATGTAAAGATAAAGGTGACCAAGCATAGGTATACTGTATGCCGTAAAATAAACGAGGACAGTCAACTACTGCGTGACCGGTGTTATTTTTATTTATTTTTTTTATTCTTTATTTGTAATCACCAATTCATGACCCCATATTTATGCCAACAAGTGTTTTAATTTGGCGGTCTAAAAGCGTTTGCGCCAATTTATGACCCCGCCAATTCAAAACACTTTAAAAAATGCCAACATTTGACACCGCAGATATAATGCGCTATACAGTAATTGAACAAATGTATGTTTACATGATTGTTCGGAGGCTTTGAGGAAGATAGGATTTATCCTATCTAGTTACCTTCAGTTAATAATGTATATTTATTTTTCAATTTATTCATTAAATTAAAAGAAAGTCTAGAGACTAAAAATAATAGGTACTGACTATCTGACATAATGTATTTCTTAAACAGACAGACATGAAAGTAATTTTACCTCCTCCAAGCAGTAAAATTGGAAGTTTCCATGATTTTAAAGTATAGACACATTTTCCCAGTGAAAGGGGTGTTAGGTTAAATGACTCATTAGGATCTCCTGCCAACCCGTCTGCTCCACATTGACAAACTACTACTTCAGGATCAAACTTCTCTTTCACTTTTACTAACACTCTGAAAAACAAAAGATATGCAAAATATATTTTTTTGTTTCTACTCAATGCCAAACACAAAGTTCAGGAGTAATTAAACCTTAAGTAACAAGCATTTGATAGTATTGCGGGCAATACAGTAGTCCCCTACCGGTCCCTCAAAAAGTTCTTTAATTGTCATACACTCCTGTGTATTGCCATTTATAATGAATTTGAGGATGAAGTCTGTATTTGAAAATATCAACCACAAAACATAATAAAATAAGTTTGTTTATATCACAGTAATGTGTTAAGTTTCCATGCTTAGTAAGGAAATTATGTTTATACAACCTTGTCATATTATTACGATGTGGGATTTTAAAGTAAATCCTGTAAGGAATGAAGAAGTTGGAGTGAAAATACCAGTTTCTCGAAAAAAATCTAAGTTCAAGGGGGACATAATTCTGGAAATAGTCTTGCTAGAGTATTTAACCTTCTCAAAAATGTCGAGTGATAATAAGAAACATATATATGAAGTTTGAAGTAGATACATTAGGAAATAAAGAAGTTATTTAAAAAAGACAACATTTTTTCCCCTAAAAAATCTAAGTTCAAGGGAGGTAATATTAATATTTTTTTGTGCTAGAGTTATAAACCTTGTCACATATGATGTGGTTGATGACCAGGAACTTATATTTAAAGTTTGAAGTAAACACCTTAAGAAATAAAGAACATATAGTGAAAAAGCTGAAAAATTTAAATCAGAAATCTTGAAATTCAGGCTATTTGTTGCCATAGCAACCAGAATTTTCAACATAGGAAGAAAATAAAAAGATGTGCATAATCTCCAGACTGCCATCTACCCATATTTCAAGTTTCATAAAAATATTTTCAGTACTTTTTGAGTTATCACTGGATCCAGTTTATGTGTTAAATTTGCCATATTTTCAGACTATTTGTTGCCATAGCAACCAGAATTTTCAACATAGGAAGAAAAAAAAAGACGTGCATAATCTCCATACTGCCATCTATCCATATATCAAGTTTCATAAAAATATTTTCAGTACTTTTTGCGTTATCGCGGGATCCAGTTTTGTGGACGGACGGACTGACGGACTGACAGACGGACAGACAGACAGACGGACAGAGGGTAAACCTAAAGTCCCCTCCGGTTAAACCGGTAGGGGACTAATAAGTCTTGGTTAGTAATCTTCAATCACAACCTGTGATTGTCAAGGACATGTGTAAAGTTTCAGAAGAAATCTTAATGATAGTTAGTGCAAACATTATAAGTTTTATCTAAAGCTACAGACCTGTCTAATGTTTTGACTCTACACTGAACTGTGCTTAAAGACACCCAAAAATGATTTGTTTTGTTTTTTACTTGAAGGGACAGGGCTCCAGATAATTTTTTAGGGCAATGAGTATTTACTCATTGATTTTTTTTGTGAATGAGTAAAACTTGAAATCTGAAATTTGGCAGGAGTATTTTTACTCCTTAAAATGTATGTAAAAGAGTAAAACACTTGTTATGCTTATTTTGATTATTGCATTACCATACTTGTAATACAAGATACATTGTAATGTCAAGGTTATTTCTTTTGCTTTTTGGACTCCCTTGGTTTATAATCTTGCATTCCAAACGGCATACGTTTTATCTGAACCTGAGGCATGTTTCTGTTGCTCATACGTGGCAGCGCTAATTATTTCATTAAGAATAACCTTCACAGTTACTTTTGGGTCGATGTTTTTCGGCTGAAAATACAAGTCAATCGTTTTAACTTTTGACAGCGACATTGTACTGGATGTTTATGAAATTGCGTTAATTCCACCACCTTACTATACATACGATAACAACCGATGATAGTCGGAACTACAGGAAGTTACCCTTAGACGTTGCAAAGCATTCATACGAAGTTAATTCCACCACCATACTATATCTACGATAACAACCGATGATGGTCGGAACTACAGGAAGTTACCGGTAGACGCTTGCAAAGTGTTCAGACAAAATTAAAAATAAGATAATCACCGAGTTTACTTTCGGTTACGTTTTATATGCAAAAGAAATGTTGCTCAATGCGTAACCTGAATTTTGTGTGCGTTTTCATAGGCCTAAATTTTATTTTGAATGCATAAACGTGTTTGCGTAATTTACACGTATACGCATCTTATCTGGAGCCCTGAGGGACTAGGAATATTTCAAGATTTTTATAACCAATAAGGCTTGTAAGCAAATTTTCAGACCATTCAGTCGCTCTGTTGTTCCAGAATGATCACTTTTATTGTGCAAAATTACCTGGTTTTACACACCTTTTATTCATATCGGACTTAAATCACACTAAAAATAAATCTTAAGTATATTTTCTTTTGAGAACATTTTCATATTTTTCCATTTTAAGTATTCCAGTTGATCTATGCATGATTTTCAAATATTTTGTTTATCAGCTTTTAGATCACAGTGGAGTTCCTTTATCACAGGTCAAGTTCATTTCTTAAATTAATTGTGAATCAGGATTAATCTTTCAACACAAGATACCTACCTACACACTAGAGTTGCAAATTCAGTATCTTGAATTCCGTCTTTCAATGGAATGTTAACACTGTAATATTTGCCTTTACCATAGCCAATGTCTTTAATACTACCACTGCCTGTAACATAATACTTTTTTTTAATTATATAAAATTTATTTTAGTTTCATATTAGCAGCTGTTAGCTTATAGAAACATTCTTGAATCTGTGGTAGGAACTAACTTGTTTTAAGCAATTAGTATATAAAGTTTCTTGCTCAAGGAAATAACAGCTGGTTGAACCCACATGGTAAGCAATCCTTAGAGTACTAGTCAGATGTACAAATTCCTCAGCCATGCCACCAACATATTGTTGTTTTTCTTCTAATACATTAAAGATATTTGTTTGTTCAAGTGAAATATAAGTAAAATTCTCATTTTAGTAAGAGATTCCATCAATACTAATTCTTACTTAAGTATGCCTCAAATAAAACTTACCTGGAAAAAATCCTACAGCATATTTGTGTACAGATACAGTCATCACCTTGTTTGTTGAAGAAAAAGCTTCCTCAACCCCTGAAATGGTATAATACCCAGTCTCAGGAACTGACAGCATGCATGCAGGAAAATTCTAGAAATATTGATAGACTCTGGGCACCACATTGACAGACAGAATGTAAAAACTGGTCCCATTCTCAATATTTTTCACTTCAGTAACCTTGACCCCATCAATCTGAAATCCCAACCACAGTTAAAGTCTTTGCTTGTTTGACTGATTGGGTTTTACATCACACTGACACAGTACAGGTCATATTGCGACATTCCAGCTTTACTGGTGGAGGAAGACCTAAGGTGCCCTTCCAGAACCACTGACGTTCCGTAAGCCAATTAAGGCCTATTGGAGGCACCAACACATCAAATATATATCAGTCAAGCAATGAAGGTGATATGACAAACAGTACAGAAAGACAAAGGGGCAATCAAATAATTTCAGGATGTATAATAAATAGAGGATATTTACATGAGTATAAGTTCAATACTAAATTTATTGAATGAGTTGAATAAAATTATGTTATGCGAGCCTCTGGTGAGCATGATCTTGTTTTATTCAACAAGTTCAATAAATTTAGTACTGAAGTTACACGAATATCATATTCTATATATCACATACCCAAAATAATAAAAAATCAAGTGCAAAAATTTGACGCTAGGCTAGTTAGTGTAACTAACATTCAGCATCTCTTTGCACTTCATTTGTATAACGCAAATGATGTCACGTCAAAATATATGCACGGCCGTGCAATACCATTTTTACAGGGTCACAAAACTGGCATGGGTATGTGATAAAAACTAATTTCTAACAATAATCTTATAATATTGTGCATGCTGATAAGATGTATTTGTATGGATGGAAATAAAACTAAATATTAGCCAAATTCTTACTCTGACAAATAATAATAAACTAGTAATCATTCATTCTTATCATGAAGACTTTATAATTTTATACACAAATATTCTGACTGATAATAGAAAACATTTCTCTTAAGAAATAAATGCCTGTCATAGTTACCATCTCCATGATGAAGGTCAAGATCAACATAAAGTACACGACTGAAGTGTTCTCTCAGTTTGAGAATGGCAAGCACAGCATCGTTTGTATAGCAGAATCCTGAGGCATAATCCCTGAAAAAATTGAAAAGTCCAACCTCTGCAAAGCAACACCCCTTTGGAGGTAAAGGTCTAGGTTGTTGCTGTAAGGTGTTGCTTAACCCATTGCTTCATGAGCATTTTGTGAAAAATGGCTGTTTTCATTGAAAAGTCTCCCGTTACAAGTTCAAATTGCTATAATACTATAAAAACTGCTTCAACACTAATCAAACTTGGCACAAATGTTGACTGGACCATTGCCCTTGAAACAACATGCTCAGGCTTAAATTTTCTGTTACCATGGCAACGAGGGGACATCTCAAAATTGCCAAAAATTACTATTTTGCGTTGATTTTTTCCATCAAAATTGATTTCAAAGTGCTGCAACTTTTCAATGGATTGAGATAGAGTCAAATGCTTTTCAGCGTTGGTTACACGTTACCTTATGATCAATCTGGGGTCATTTACAGCCTCTCACAAGTCCAAAATTTTCTTGGCGATGAGGGGGACTCCGCCCCCCTTCAAACCCCCCAAACAGAAGGGGGCACATCCCCCTTCTGGCAACCCCCTGATGTATCTTTTGGTTGGGGGGCCGCGCCGAAAAAGAGGTCACTTTTTTTAACAACATTTCTCAAACAAAAACAAGTGTTTGGGGCCTAAATAAGGCGTTTTTTCATCATTTGAGACAACAAAAAGGGGGGGGGGGTGAAAAAGGCGTTAAAAGGCGTGTATATGAAGTAATGGGTTAAGAGAGTTTAACTTAAGTGATAAAATCTTAGTTATGGAAGATTTGATTCTGTTGATGTACATGGGACCACTCTGAAGAGGTTCCACTGTATTTTATTTATCCAAGTTCCCTTTATGCACTACAGCCAGCCTGACTCAATAAGCCACTGGTGGAGACAAGGCCAGTCTTGCAGATTGAACAGGCACTATAATGATGACAGTTTAACTTCATTATTTTTCATAACGAAATATATATTTGCTTAACTTAATAATGGATGGATCCCAAGTAAAAGCATGAGTCTATAAAATGATACCCTTTTTGTACCCGAATTATGAAAAGAAAACTTAATTCTTATTCTTCGTTTTTCTGTTTCTATCTACATATTAGGGATTCAAAGAAAGATGAATAAACATGACAGCGTTATTATACAGCATTACTGTTTTTGTGTGTGTGTGCCCATTCATGCAGTATTTTAGGCACAAGTGGGCACCTGAGTAAAACCATCCGCATTTTGTTAGCTAACTAGTTAACTTTCTCAAATAAGAGACATGTCAGCACTAAACTGAAGAATATTGTTCAACTTAAATTATAACATACAGTCAAACTTCATTCCCTCAAACGTGCAAATTTGTTCGAGAGATTCGTAGTTCCAGCCAACCAAGGTTAAACTTTTATCAAGTATTATATCCTATTTTACTATAACATAGGCCTGAGGGTTTTGCAGCTTATATCAGTTGAATGATAAATACCCTAACATAACTGTTTGTAAGTACATCAGTTCGTTGAATACGTAATTTCTTCATAATATTCCAGCAATCTGAGTTCGAGCCAACAAAGTTTAACTGTATTTATAATAAACACATCTGCTTGGAACTCAAAATCTATACTGAAGTGACCTACTTTTTACCATGATGCCATCCACCATACCAGTTAATGGCAATATTTGCCGCATGGTTATTGAGAGATTGAGCTGCCTGTATACTCGCACCACTCACTATACATGTGTAGTCATACACACCATGATGTACTGCACAATCATAACCTATAACATGAATTGAGCCACGCCATGACAAAACCAACATTGTGCGTTTGCGACCAGCATGGATCCAGACCAGCCTGTGCATCCGCCCAGTCTGGTTAGGATCCATGCTGTTTGCTATTAGTTTCTCTACTTGTAAAATGGTTTGTAAGGGCACAGCATGGATCCTGATCAGACTGCGAGGATGCGCAGGCTGGTCTGGATCCATGTTGGTCGCAAAGGCAATATGTTGGTTTTGTCATGACATGGCTCAAAATTTATTTTTATATTCCAATTATGATCATTTCAAAACAAAATGGCAATAGTATATACATGTATTGCTTGATGAAGTAAAGTAAACTCCACTTATAACAATATGCCACTTATAAAGATGCCGTTGACGTGGTCCCAACTCTGATTGTCTGTTGGATATAACATTATCAGATTATAACAATATCAATTCAGCAGTCTATTGAATATTGGTATAAGGGGAGTTTACTGTACATGTCAAATTTGATAAATTTAGCTTAATTTTTAGTTGTTGAATTTAAAGTCACACCTAAATCATAAAGGTTATATTTCAACTTTGGTGGAGGAAGACCCCAGATGCCACGTTGTGCATTATTTCAGGAACAGACAGGCACCAAAGTAGGAACTGCCTACCTTCCGTAAGCCAGCTTGAATGCTTCCTATCATGAAACAATCAAAAGTCCCTGACAGTATTCAAACTTGCAGCAGTAATGAGCAAGTGATATGAAGTTCACCTCTTTACAGTGGGGGTTTACATGTATATCTGGATTATAAAATCATTTAACCTGTAAATGAACTATAAAACAAATTCAGTGTAGTAATGATTACAATTAAATATCACAGTAATGAACATGGATATGATAGACACATACTTAAACCATACTGTAGAGCTTCCTCTTCGTGTTTTTCATCATCATCTTGCCCACTTATTTTCTTTAAGAATTCTAGGTAATCCGCAGAATGAAAGACACAGAGTTCATCAAATGTTGCTGGCCTGGGCTCTACAACACTGAAAGACAAAAACTGAATAGTTAAGGCTTCTTTAATCTTATTGGCATAACTTATTGGCATAATTTATGTAACCAATTATAGGCATAAATACATAATTTCAATTTCCAGCTTTACTGGTGGAAGAAGACCTGGTGCCTCCATGCATTACAGGCACAGCCAGGTACCACATTCTATAAGCTAGCTGGATAGCTTCCTCACATAAAAGAATCCGAAGTTCCTGGATTCAAACATACAGTGGTGAGAGGCAACTTGCAAGTGGTTTGAAGTCAACAACCTAAACTACTCGGCCACTGATGCCCCTTTTAAAACATTTAAAGCAAAATTTTTTTGAAATATTCAACATAATTGCTATGGGTTAGTCTAAGATAATTCAATTTATAAGCAGCCCTATTCAGTTATATATATAAATTACCTGAGGTATCTATAGAGACTGTATGCTTCTATTAAACTCGAAACAAGACTTGCCTGAAATGTATGAATTGTTCAGGTTTTATTTTGTGAAGGCTGACATATATATATACAGCACTGAACCATCAAAGGAGATGATATACATGATGACAATACATCACCTTTAAATTTCCAAAACTATCCACAGAGATAAACAGGCCATTTAAGCATTGCCCTCTTTCTGGAAAAATGCGTATGTAAATTTTGTAATCTACCACCCCTGGCTCAGAGGAGCTCCTTTGATTGAAATAGTGGCTGATTACTCAACAACTTTGTCATGTCTGCTATATTATTCTTGCTATGCAGCCAGCATGGGTAGAAGAATTAAGCAATGCACTTTCGTGTTCTAGATCTATTCAGTATTTACTTATGCTACTACAGTGAGGTGATGCCAGGTGAATTTAGACTGGGCTTATCAGCTAATCCTATTGTAGATGACTAATACCCAGTTTATATATTACAAACCATTTTTGTAACCTAAATGTTTAATCAAGTGAAATGCTAAACATCACATGAAATGCAAAACTGTAACAATGCTTGGGTAATGATGGATAGAATAGATACTTTAGAAACTACTAACACGTTTTGGAACTTTCAACATTTGGTCAGCTTTGTCAACCAAGTATTTGCTACACATATAAATGACTTTTCCTTGTATTTGGGAGGAATTTGTAGATATGTTTTCTGTTGTGTTGGAATTTTCTAGCTTAGTCACAACTTCAACATGTTCAATACTAAAATCTTTCTTCACTGCGGATGAAGAGTCACAAGTGTTTTTTGCATTGTTGTTGAAACGCGATCTGAGAGGTCTGTAAGTTTTAACAGGCGAATCTTCGTCTTCAATAAAATCATACTCTTGCGACAAAGATTTCGACCCCATTGTCACATAAATCAAAACAGTATTAAACGTTAAAGAACCCAAATAACAAAACCATAATATTGTTTTTTTTCTCTTTCCCGCAATATGACAGCTATTGAAGAGTATTCAGGTTTGTCTAAAGTGTATAGTATGACACGTACCAGCGACTTAACTGTAACCGTACTTATTCCGTATTAAATTGTCTGGTTACTTAAAACATGTTAGAGTACATTGTCATTACAAACATCTATAATTATACAAGCAGTGAAATAAAACTAATTCAACCTTGAATACGTATCAAACTGCCATAATTTCAGTTTTTTTATTTGTTTTTATTTAAACAATGATTTTACATAACATGTATATATGATTGTATAATACCATAGTATGCTATGTTCGTAATTTTATGGGTTTTTTTTTTCTTCAGAATTCTTACTAGGTCTATAGTCGGAGGAAACCTATATTTGTCGCAGAGATATCGGATGCATATGCCACGGACCAGTATATATGGCGAGTGATTAACTTCAACCACGTCGTGCTGCACGATAAGCATTTAGTCTTGTCTACAATATTCAAAGGACAGCCAGTTGATGTCTGTGCCTGGCTGTAACACTCGACCCCTCTATTTTTTCTTTTGGGTTTCTAAGTGAGACGACAAATGATGCAAGTAATTAAGTGAATCTTAATACTGAGAAATCCATTAAAGTCGTAATTAATTTCTGTTAAAAATGCTTTTAAAGATCCTTAAAGATCCTTCAACACGATCTTAATTATTGTTGTGCTTGTAGTTCTTTTTATTTGTCTTTTTCTACTTGGATGGTTCCGTTTTCCATACTTGAATACTGTATAATCACCCTTAATTAGGATATGTGGCCTGCTTTTTAAATTGGTCTCGATAGCTTAATTATCTGTGATATGCAGGCTTCATAACCTCTGAGCCCAGTTCAAAATTCCATTTTGTTTAGTTCCGCCTATTGTTTTCTCGTTTAGGGCAAAGCAGTTTTTTACTTGAGGACCACATACCGCTTTTCATGGAATGGCACCAACGTGTCACATTGTAGGTTCCATGATAACCGCCATATGAACACATCTGCGGATGCTTATAAATTCAAAATTTTACTGATCATTACATGTTTAAATGTTAAATACTGCTTAAGCCGGTGCTAGGGGCGTGGAAGTAGTCTTTCCTGTACTGACCTTGAGCAGGCTAAATCAAACCGAGCCTGCAACATTTCAATTTATTTCCGCCCTACTAGACATGTAAAAATAAACTTCGAAAGAAGATTTTTTCGTATATTGACTGAGTCTACTGGATATCCTGCAAACTATAATACTACATTTGAAATTCATTGACCTCATATATGTTGCCAGTAGACTTTTTATACCAGATAAAACAGGTTACACGAACTTGAAAATCTTATACTATTTTAAACATTGCTGGCGTTTGCAAGAAAACAGTAGCCATCTATTTAAAATGTTTGATAAATATTATAATTATTTATCTGATGTAATGGCTTCATGGCGTTGACAGCAGCATGTTAAGTCTGTGTGATGCAACACAATTTCTTATTACATCGGCCAGTGACAAAATTCATACAAAAGGAGACTCTTGATGCAAGAAGTACAATGCACACAACGCTGAAGTTGTCAATAAAAAAGATAATATAATAGTTGAAAGTTTTCCCTCGATTGATGTTAAATACAATATGGACTGTTATAACTACCAGAGCATTTTAGAAAATAGTGATATTACTGCACATGTCTTACTCTCATAGAAAATATTGTTATTGCTGATTGTCTGATAGCAAACACTGCTATTACTGCAGCAATATTAAGTGTTTACTGCTATCACTATCAAATTATTCCAAATATTGTTATTACTGCCAGAATATAATAGCAAATATGCTATAATTGACTGGGTCCAAAAGGCAAACCTCTGATAGGTTGCACTTTACAACGTCAGTGGTTCTACTCAGATGCCCGTTAATTCGTGCATGAAATATTGTACAGAGGGGAACCTGAGATCTTCACCTACCAGTAACACAGTATATAAACGATTTGAACCCCAACCGGATCTTGTGAGAAGATTTTAGTGTCAGCCATATTCTGCCACTACACTTGCTTACGATATTGGTATTTATATTGATACTGATGGACGTTAGGTTAGTAAATCTATATTTATATTATTAGAGAGAAACTTTATTAAACGTCTAAGTTATGCAAAACATAAACATTAGCACGAAGGCTGTAAAATAATCGAAACTCACGAACAGCTTTCAGGTGATCAACACTGAACACGAACAAAAATCCGTCTTATTCCAATGTTGATTTAGTTAAACATTGAATTGTGATATCGAACAACTAAGGTAATCAATAACAAACGATAATTTAGTCATATGCATAACATATTGCTGTATCTTGAACATAAATTTATGAGTTTTACCAAGGAGGTCATTTCCGTAAACTGAACGTTACTTGCTGGTGATTGTGAACCCTACTTGTGAGTTTACGAAATTTATCTGTACCCTGACTTGTGAGTATTTTTAAAGATTTATTGGAGAAAAAGTTTACGTTCATTGCGATTTTGTATCAATTATTGCCAGAAAATATAAATGATTGTAATAGAATTTTAGTATATAAGGTGGGATCTAAGGTATTTACCGAGAATTGGTTTAACTGATAATATTGTTAATCATTTGTTAACAACAATGCCGTAGAACTAAATATAAAAAAAATTATAGTACATATGTAATATTTTAGCTTTATATCTTTCCAAAGAAAATGAATGGTAAGTGAAGATGAGGTTTGTTAGTTAATTATTCCTATCAAAAAATAATTGACTTTCTGATTCGTATAAACAGCCACTTTCGTAGACAGTAAAAGCATGACGAAGCTCCTCCATTCATATGCAGTTTTAGTTACTTACATGTAAAACATGTACCCTTCTCTTGTGACACAATAACTTCATATTCTGCACAATAAAATTTGGAACATACGACAAAAACACAATAAAAATCATCAAAAGTGACTCGCAAGTAATGGTTCAGTGAAAACACAAGTAGGGTACAGATCATTAAAATTGTTTTAGCAAGACGGGTACAGTTATCAGAAATGTCGCCTCTATTATTAACTATGTTTTATCAATATTCAAAGATATTTTCACAAGTGTCTGTCCGGTAACATGAGGTTAAGACAATAAATCAAAGATTCAGATATGAGTTATAGTGAAGTAAAACAATTTTAGGCATACATTTGCTTGTGTAATCGGCGTGTGTTGACATAAACAAAACATGAGGCGAAGAGCACAGCGTTTTATGCGCATATATTTTACGAAGAAGTTTATGGGTGTATATTTAAGCAAAGATAAATTATTTCTTAATATGATTCAAATGTTAACATACCGTAACATATTAAATTCAAGCCGATTTTTGATAGTTTAATGTGTCATTACGCCTGATTGTACGTTTAGATGCTGAGATCTTCTCACAAGATCCGGTTGGGGTTCAAATCGTTTATATACTGTGAGTAAAGTTTGAAAGTAACCATATGACCTTTATAGACGACAGTGTTGGTGCGACGTAAACCCCCACCTCTTAAAAAAACAAAATAAACAACAAAACACGTACCAATTATAATATTAATTTATGTTCATGATAAATACTTTTTTCCGATGTCTCCTTTGTGCTACCGTACAGTTCAAAAGCACTAAATAACAAAATTTCGCGTTGAGATAATTAACCTGTTTTCATTATTATCTTACTTTCTTTTTTTCTGATAAACAAACGTGAAATTCTTATTTACTTAATCAAAAATCTTCATTAATTTCACGAAAGTGGTTATAAAAACTTATTTTTTAACTGATGGCGTATATTTGCTTCCGTACATATAACCTTGTTTGATATGCTTGTTAATGTAAATACTCATTATATTAACTGTCTTAATTATTATTTTACCTAGATTGTCTTATGCAGACAGGTGACTCATCATTCTGACAAGTATGTATGTAAGCCATACATGTTATTTAAAGCGGGCCGTTCATACCATAATTAATTTTTTTGTCATGGTATTAGTATATATACATGTAGGTATTTTGAATAATGAACGGTGATACGTGTACACACACTGTAGCCAATAAGGCTTCGGAAGATGTCCGAACAACTTACCATATTCTTTTGGAACGGGATAACTCGCCCAATCATGTTTAACAGAAATAGTTATATTTTTTGCTTTTTTAACAGTTTATTACAGGCCTAAACATTGCCGTTCAAGTTGTCCGTTTTAAGTAGGCATATCGTATTATCTGTTCTATGTCAGATAAACTGAACAGACTTAATCTTAGAGTGGTTTGTGCCCCTGAGATAATAAATTTTTTTCGTCTCCTCGAGATCTTTTTGGTGACTGCAGGTGATACACAAATTGACCAGACGCTTTCCTTGCAGACATATACACACACACTCACGCGCGCACGAAACAAACAAAAAACACGGACAAAAATCAATAATGAATTTGCTAAATCTCAATATTAAACACATACAGTTTTATTCATTAAACTAGATTTTTTTTATAGATCAGGAACCAATATTATACATATTATGTGCCAGCAAAGTTGAAACAGCCGCTTTAAAGAACGTTTTCGTTATCAGAGGCGACCTTTCTAAAAACCGGTATATACGTTCATTCATACACAGGGGGTTGGCGTTTTTAAAATAATCCAAAACTTACACAAAAGTTTATAACGTTTAAATCGATAGCTTTAATCTTTACTGCGAGTTGTTAAATCTATTTTCAATACGCTTGTGATTAAAACACGACATAATTTATTATGGTAATTTTCTAAAGGTTATCCAGGTTTTTTAAGTATTTTTGTTTCGTTATAACTTAACTTACAAATGTATTTAACTTAACAGAATACAGAGAATATATGTTTCGCCGAATCAGTCCTTAGAACCTTAATAAAACTCTCGGCTTCTCTTCCAAATGGCATTGACTCGATCAAGAAATACATCGTTTTTCAATTCTCGACAGGAATAATATTGATGATAATGGTGAAGCTGATGATGATGATGATAATGATGATGAATTAGTGACGTTTAATTAGTGCAAATCATAACCGAATGATATTACATTTTTATACACTTATATTTTTGACATTATACACCTATGATTAAATTGTAGCGTATATTATTTATCCTTGTTAAAAATGCTTCTTGTTATTTACACGAAAATCGAACGAAAAATTGCTAGATCTATATGGAAAATATTTGTCTCATATATATGTGTCGCTAGTTAGGGGGGGAGTGAAAATTAACTTATATTGAATATCTTATAGGTTAAAGAAATAATTATAAATAACGTACAGGATTTTATTATATATATACTTATAAATGAAATATTGAGATTTTTCGATGAAATAAAATGTGTATTTCCATTTTTTTTGTATTTTCATTGTAAAAATTTATTTTTTTCACTGCAATGAAACATATATTCCGTATTTTCACTGGTGTCTTGTCGGGCTACTTTTTTACTAAATTGAGCCAATTTCACTAAATTTAAGGGGAAGTCTTTCAAATAGAGAACAATATATAAGATTTATCACAAGTCCAGGATTTATTTTCATCTCGCGGCTATCGTCACTCATGAAATATTTATTTTCAAACCATTCGATGAAAATAAAATCTGTATTAATAGAAAAACTTGAATATCCTCTATATATTTCAACCGGAGATGAAATATAAGACAATCCTTCAAATGAGTCCAATATGAATGGTAAAACTGAGTGTGTTAGTTCAAATATTTCCTGTATTGTTCAGTACAATATTACAATATCCAATATATAAAGCATATATTGAATGAGTTCAATATTTGTCTTTATTAAATTTCTACAGATATATAAAAAAAATCGGAATTCCCGACGAAGTTCAAAAATATGAGGACAAAGATCAGCAATGAAATTTGATATACGTCTATGACCAAAGCGATTTGTGAAATATTGATTACAGGCCGCTGTGTAAATGCTGGACGCGTATTATCGCACTGTGTTTGATTCAATAAAATCCTTGAAATGCCCTTGCTCGTTTAGCAGAAGTGTCATTTTGTTAAACCTCGGCGGTCCTCTATAACCAGTGATTTATAGCAGTGCATGCAATTGGAATTCATTTGTTTGTTGTTGTTTCTGTAATTTAAAAAATAATTAAATAAATAATTATGCCGGAAAAATTAGGACAGCAGGAGCTGTATAACAGGCTCGCCAAATCTGACAGCGGTTCTTTGTTGAAAAAGCATTTAACTCCATCCGTGTATGATAAGCTGAAAAACAAAGTTACAAGTTTTGGAGGAACTTTATCGGATTGTATACGATCTGGTAAGCATTTTTGGTGATTTTTCAACAATTTAATGTGTGAACCATTTTGTTTTAATGTCTTTGAGTGCTATGAGATGAGTGAACGTACACATGAATGTGGTTATTTATCAATTTTCGTGTTATATATACAACTCCTTAGATAATGATGCACCATTCATTTGTTATATTGAAACCCTTGTCCGGCCTGATGATAAAATCCATGCAGGGGCTATCATATTTATAGGGTAAACATGATGAGCAATGAATGCCCCGCCCGCTTTAACGCCTCCGCAGTCCGGAGACATCCAAGTCAATCATGTTCAGGACTTCTTAATATTTTGTCACACAAAAATGTAATGTTCAGTCGGTGAGACAACAGGGGGATTGAGGTACTGACAACAGGGGGTGGGGTACTTTAACCTCACCCCCACCCCTCCCTACATTCTTATCTGTTTTTTTTTAGCTAAATACAAAATTTACTTGCACATAAAAAAGGTCTTTTGCATAGAATTTGATAGATTTATTCTAATTGATACTTTATTCAATATAAATTTTGATCTACAGCTGATCTATACGACAATTTGTTCTAGTGACCTACACTCAATGTCAAATATAACGGTATATATTCCTGTATTGGCAAACATGCAAAGATTACACAGTGTATATACATGGATCCATGTCAAAAAGTTGTAAAGCTATAGGTAAACTACAAATGTATACAATTGTATAGAATCAATAGATCCTCTACCGATATGAATGTATTTTGGCATATTGATTATTCAGCAATTTAATCTGTTAAGTTAATAATAACTTTATACAATATAGTACATGTTTACGAATTGTATCTTTTCTAATGTATATAGAAAACATTTTAAGTTTTCTCTGCTAACCTCTTTGAATTGGTATTGTCTGTTTTCATGAAAATGCAAATAACGTATTTCTTATCGTTTGGCCCTAACAAAATGATATCGAGGAACTTGCAACACCTTCACCATGTGATATTCCAGCATACAAGATTACAAGATCAAAACATTTCAATGTATGTACTGTACTCCATCTAGGCTCGTTTTTATTTTCTCGAGTCCAGTAATACCATATCAGATCCATAATGTACTCGAACAGGAACTTTCGTAATATATATTCCTGACTCCAAGTTACTGTAAGTTTAATATAATAAAATAAAAGTGTTTAATTTAAATGTTACCGTTAATGTGTCATCAATTTAAATTTTTATGATGAAAAATGAAGAGACAATTATACATTGTTGAGTTCAATACCGAATCAGTTACACTTATAAACAGCTTCAAAACCCAAATTGAACGTGGCTCTTAGCCTCTACAAAACCTATATTGGATGAGTCGCTATAGGTTTTACAGCTGTGTACACTCGTCCAATACAGTATTGACGCGTACCGTCGTCATTTTTCTTGCTTATCTTATATCGAAGATAAAAAAATATCCTTGCTGCAAATTTGTAATGTATTTTTATGTTTTGCAACAATTAAAAATGACACGCTTTATTTCATTACATTAAGCTATGTCCATATACTGTTGTTGTGTGTTTTTCCGGCTTCAGTCTGTTAAAATGTTTGTGTGCTAACTGATCCATCATTACTGTAATGCATTATATTTTCTTATTGCTACATCTTAATGCTTACTAGGTATTAAAACATTAATTTTAAAGTAAAAAACGCGATTTGTAAAATCTCTTTCACGGTGATAAATACACCAGTGATGAAAAGACTTGTACAGCTGACGTCATCCTGAATATATAATAATTATGTGTAAAGAAGGAACAAGTTTATAGATAGAAAATGGCGCGGAAAAGACACACATTCGACGTAACGTTTCTTTGCGCGCATGTTTGTGCAGTTGACGTCAGACAGTCTGAAGCCACTGAAAACATCCGGCCAAAGAAACGTCCGTTGGCGGCAGATAAAATGACGGACAAATCTCTTGATGAGCTTTGGAGTCGTTTGAAAGACTCGGGCTCACAATGTACATCATTATTGAAGAAACATTTAACGCCCCAAGTTTTTGAAAAGTATAGAAATACCATGACGAGCTACGGCGGAACCATACGTGATTGCATGGCATCTGGTGAGTTTCGGTGTATTAACCTATTAGTTTTATCTGAAAATGTTCAAAAGGTTTTTATGACTTTTAAACATCATTTAGATATAAAAATATAAGCAATAAGAGAATATCCAAATTGCCGTAGTAAAATTTGGTGTGTGCTTTTTGTTTAAATTTTGATCTGTAGATCTACGCTATCTTTTTTATTGAAACGCTTAATCACGGATTTATATATATAAATCCGTGGCTTAATTTAGTAAAACATAAGGAAAACATTTTTAGTTTTATCTATGCATCCGTCAGAAAAGTCTTTATTCTGTTTCTTTATATCATTCATCAAGTTTAAAATTGTCCTTGTGATGAATGCTGTTCACATCTTGTATCATTATTTCAAGTATATCATAACAACACTTGAATTTGTTGTAATCCACGTAACTTCAATTCCCGCTAATTTGAGTTGTTTCCCTTCAACTTGTAGATTATTATCGGGAAGGTAATTTCACAGTACTGTAAAAAGTCTGAAAAATTTCATAGAGTTACGCAATTTGGCCAGTCGCAGATAAGAAATGTAACTACTTTTATAACAGCACCGGTATAAAAAGTATAAAACCTCTCTTATGTGCAAGAATACACTGTCGTCTGTCAGTGTTATATCAAAAGTCTTCCGCACAACACCGCCTTTGAGCCTTTACATTCTTAAGTACAAGGCCGTGTGGTTAAGGTCGTGAAACTCAAAGTTTCAAACCACTTGCCTATCACCGCTGTAGGTTCGAGCCGCGCAAGAGTCGTCCGATTCTTCAGGTGAGCTAGCTACCCAGATAACTTACTGAACGTCGGTGGTTCTACTCAGTTGCCCGTTTATCACACCGTACAATCAAATGGTCAGACAGCTGTTCCAGCGTCGACAGCTGTACCTGTATATACATGTCGGCGCGGGGAACGCAATTGAAAAAATAATATAATTAGAAAGTATCATGAATAAAGTAATATTTTAAATGAACAAAAATGTTTTACTCTTTGCTAGTTACTGTAGCACAAAAGCGCTGAAAATTGTTTCTTTGAACGGCTTTCAGCGTTATTCATTCTTGCCGATGAATTGCTGTCAATGTTATCATTAAAAAGAGGCGAACAGCTGATGACGTTACTAAAATTTTGATGACACTCAAACTTAAATACCTTATAACTTTAACAGAAAAGCTTTTTTGAAAGTATGGTTTGGAATATTTAATGACGAAATGTTGCCCTTTACGAATCGTATGAAAAAAAGGATTTATTATCATTAGAAAATATAAGTTTTTGTGACTTTAAACTAAAAATACCGCGTCTCATCGGATAGTGTGGTTATTTTCAGTCAAAAATCACGTGAAGTAAAGCTTGCACAGGGCCAGAAATTTGTAAGCATGCTCCTTTGGATGTTGACTATGAATCCATAACATTGATTTACTCGAACACAGTTGGGATATGTTAAAAATACATGAATACTTACCGTACGTCAATTGTATTCCAAGCGCCAACATGTATATACAGGTACAGCTGTCGACGCTGGAACAGCTGTCTGCCCATTTGATTGTACGGTGTGTTTATGCCCGAATAATAATGACCTATACTGCGTTGGTGTAACGTAAAACCCAACAATAAAACAAACAACAAGAAAGAAAAACATTTTACAGCGTTACACCCCTTTCTCAGAAAGAATGTCATTGGAAGACAGCAGTGATATTGTTTATCGTGAGTCACGTGGCCATTTGTCTTTTGTATGATGTTTTACCTGAAAGCAAATATCTCAGTCACAAATACTTTTATACATGTTTATAAAATTTAAAAATACATTTCAATTGCCATGTCATTGTCTTTAGTGAATAAACGGTAGTGCTGTTAGTGAATGAGAAAACAATAGCTTTTGTTGTTAAACGTTGACGTTTAGTGAATAAACGTTACCGTTTGTTGTTAAGTGGGAAAACGATTGTTTGTTGTTAAGTGAGAAGGTATTTAACGTTATTTCAATTGTTTAGTGAGAAAATGCTAGTGCTGTTGTATTTTTTTTATTTTTTAGAAAACTCGTGTGCGAATCCGTTTCATCCCAAGTACCACTGACTTTCTGTAAACTTGACAGTAACATTAAAACAAATGGTTCAGGAGAAACAATATCTCTGTCATGTATATAAGTTGTTGATGTTTATTTTACAGGATGCATGCACTTGAAAAGTCACTGCGGAATTTATGCCAGCGACCCTGATGCCTACGACACATTTTCTGATGTATTCTATCCAGTTATTCTTGATTACCATAAAGTAAAAAAACTTGAACATCCTGCCCCAGATTTCGGTGATCTCGACAACCTTGGCTTTGGTGACCTTGACCCCAAGGGGCAATTCATTAACTCAACAAGAATCAGGGTAGGCAGAAGTCACGCTAATTATGGATTCCCGCCAACTACATCGAAAGAGGTAACCAATTTGGTTGTGTTTTCACTTAAAACAAAACAGGAATCAAAATTATGTAAAAACAGTGTGATATAACTTTTATCTCACCGATACATACATAAATATGGAATATGACATGGGAGTGCTATTCTGATTTATCGTTCAAATGTCGTGTAATGTATCACTGATCTTCCATTATTTCCAAATTTTCAAAGTATTCCAATTTTTATTTTTAATTTACAGGACCGTATTGAGATGGAAAAAATGACGGTGAATGCCCTGAGAACTCTGCGAGGAGAACTTGCAGGCAAATACTTCCCCCTTCAAGGTATGACTCCGGAGGTACAAAAACAAATGACCGAGGACCATTTCCTGTTCAGAGATGATGACCCGTATGTATACTTATAAATGACATATTGAGAAGCATGATCATTCTTATTTTCCATATTTTACTGCTATACTGCAGTTGAACATATTTTCCGTATTTTCACTGGTGTCTTGCATGACTACTTTTAAAGGAACTCCACTGAGGTCGTAAAGCCTAAAAATTCAATTTCTTAAATTAGCTTGGGCACTTAAAACGGAAAGATATGCAAGAGATGATTTTCAAGAAATTACTTGGAAATAAATGGGAAATCGTGTTTTTGTGCTTTTACTAGCCAGGTTTAAAATCATCGAAACGCTTTTCAATTTTGGGCCATTATCAAAATTAGCAAAATTACATGTATATTGGAGAGGCGGATCAAGCGGATGATCTTAAACTTTGCACACAAGTTACTGGTCTAGAACTGCAACAACTGGAATATTAATTAATCTCGAAAAAAAAAAGCATTTCCAGTCCAATTTCGTCAAAAAACCCTGTAATATGCTAAGAAATACGCCAATGTTTTATTACCTTGAAAACATGCGACGCCAAGAGGTCCGGTAAAGAATATTGTCAAAACTTTTATGTCGCAGTTTTAAGATTAACTAAGAAATTGTTGTTTCGTAGAAGTTTATAGATTTTCGAATATTTAAGCAACTCTGTTTTTTTAAGAATAGAATAACTAAGTGAAGTCTACGAACCTAATAACGGCGTTAATTTTGTTTGCAGCGTATTGGGCGATGCTAACGGTTACGATGACTGGCCGGTCGGTCGTGGTATCTTCTTCAGCAATAACAAGAAGTTTCTTGTCTGGATAAACGAGGAAGATCATCTCCGTATCATCTCAATGCAAAGTGGCGGGAATCTCGCCGAGGTTTGGCAGAGACTAGTCAAGGTACTGTACTGTTTTTAGCTCACCTGAGCACAAAATGCTCAAAGCTGCGCCTTTTACCATGGGTACTAATAAGGGTCGGGTATGTTGCACGTGCAAGTCCCATTAGATAATAAATTAAACACGAAAATAGTCGAAAATTGCTCTTATTACACATGTATTTCATAAGGCAAATTTGAAATAATTGATGGCAAATTTGAAATAATTGCTTTTTGAACAAAAGTTTATTTAGGAGTGCATTGTTGTAGAATAATGCACGGTTTGAGTCCAAATGCGTAGTAATATAATCACGAAGGCCGATAGGCCTGAGTGATTAATTACAAAGCATTTGAACGAAAAACGTGCATTATTATACAATAATGCACGAAGAATTAATATCTATTTCCATTCTAACACGTCAAGAAAAAATATAATTATTATTATAAAGTTGGACTCTATGTTTGGTGGTTTAATTTGTTTTCGCCTCAGAGTTCCCCATAGAAACGTTCTTTAAAGGCTGTCCCAGTTGGTTGAAAAAAGCTGTCGATAAATCTACCGTGTGTAGAAACATTTTGAGAAAAACAAATTTTGAAAACGTTCATGACGTTGGTAAAACTTTGTTTGTTTATTTTATTTCACTCTATAATTTTTAAAGCGGAATACAAATTTTTAAAAGTGAAATAAATGTGAAACTTAACTTCTTTGCGACATTAAAATAGCGTACTTGATTTGATTGTTTTGCACGTGCTGTTTGGCGCTATATTGTGACGTCACGTAAACAACACTTTAAACGTCTGTACAGCGTTAACGACTGAATTAAAGATATTGGTGTTCGGATTCATTTTCTTAGTTAGACCATTTTCTTTCATTCTAGATAGCTTTCATAACAAAATTCGACAAAAAATGTTTTTATTTATCAGATTTTTTAAACAAAATGGCACCCTCAATGTGAAAATACACAGGGAGGTAATAAGAACGGCGAGTGCATTGTTGTAGAATAATGCACGCTTCGGGCCTTCTTTGTCTATAGATCTATAGAAAAAAATCCGATAGTGTTAGAATGTTAAATCAAGGTTGCATTCTATTGCTATTATGTATATTTTTGTTTAACATTGACCGGAAAAAAAATCATCATTTGCGCCATTAAAGGTATATTTTTTGTCTGTGATACCGGTAACCTTTTCAGAATTTTGACATCGGACGTATTTTGCCCCGCCTCTGCGGAGCTCTTGTTTGGAAATAAACAGTTGAAAACCAATCTTATTACTTTTCAGGGATTACAAGCTCTGGAGAAGAAGTTGACATTCGCCCACCACCCAAAATTCGGTTACCTGACATTTTGTCCAACCAATCTTGGTACCACTCTTAGAGCTAGTGTGCACATTCGTATCCCTAACCTGTCTAAACAGAAGGACTTCAAACAGATTTGTGAAAATCTTAACCTCCAGCCAAGAGGTTAGTCAGTATATATTTCATTTATTCATATAATATAAGTAAAATTATCAGGTCCGCATTTTATTTAAAGGGCGTAAAACCTTAACCTTTTGCCAGCCTGAATATCTTTTATAGACTTCTCTATATTTCAATCAGACATAACCATTCATCGTTTTAGGGAAAATTTTCTTTTTGCATTCGAATTTGATTCTAAATGTGTTATATCTTTAAGTACTCAGATTTTGCATGTATTCAGAAAAACTTATTACATACGAGGAACACTCGGAAACGTTTTATTTAAATATGTATATAAGATATAATTAAAAATTAACGTAGATAAGTATACACATTTGGCACTCAATAATACAAAATGTATGAATAAAATAAATGACGTATTGGGTATCACTCCGATTTTATTGTAATTGTACTTCACTAGGTATACACGGCGAGCACTCGGACAGTGTTGGCGGCGTGTATGACATCTCCAACAAGAGGCGTATGGGACTTTCTGAAATCGAGGCTGTGCAAGAAATGAGGAGAGGCGTGGAGAAAATTATCGAACTTGAACAAGGTCTTAGTGCCGGTGGCGGAAAGAAGGGCAGATTGTAAATCTGAACAATTTAAAATATTTCAATAGTGTGACAAAAATTTGCTCATGTTGATAATTTTGACATAAATACCATGAACTGTGTTTTACAACTTTACAGTGTTTTTCTAGAATTTTTTTCTGATGGATCTATTTATTTTTTGAGATAAAGATGCAAGACCTTATTTTTTGTGTTGTTTTATTATTTGTTTTGGCTAAAATAACTTATTCTTAATGATGAAGATTGTGGGGTTACATGCATACACAGCCGAAAAAGAAAAGATAAGCGAGAATCAATGAATGAAGTAAACGAAAAAAAAAATTTAAAAGTTAAGACGACTTCCCGGCGCTTCCCATATAATACCTCGGACAGAGAGCTATTGAAATGTGTTATATACGTAAGCAAGAACTTTCGACCTGCCGTCGTAAGCAAGAACTACCGACCTGCCGTCATAAACAAGAACTACCGACCTGCTGTCGTAAGCAAGATCTAGAACTGCCACTATCATGGCGTGAATACCCCCGCATACCACTTTGTCAGAATCAACAGTGGCCATTTAGAGCTCAAGGACAACCTCCCTGCCAAATCTGAGGTTACTTAGCCAATGCATTGCTAAGTTATGTATTCTACATGCTTCAAATGTGAAAATGTCAAAATCAATACACTGCGGACAGGCATTCTTTAGCAATTGAGAAGAAAAGCTTTTTTTTGTCAAGGTCCCTGTGACCTTGATCTTTGACCCAGTGACCTCAAAATCAATATGGGTCACCTTATGGTCATGATCAACATCCATGCCAAATATGAAGACTGTGGGTCAGAGGAATCTTAAGTTAATGGGTGGAAAACTTTTTTAGTCAAGGCCCCTGTGACCTTGACCTTTGACCCAGTGTCCTAAAAATCAATAGGGGTCACCTATTAATCATGACTAACCTCCATACCAAATATGAAGACTGTTGGTCAAAGGAATCTTAAGTTATTGGGCAGACAAACTTTTTGAAGTCAAAGTCCCTGTGACCTTGACCTTTGATCCAGTGACCTCAAAATCAAAAGAGGTCATCTACTTATCATGACTAATCTCCATTCCAAATATGAAGACTGTCAAAGGAATCTTAAGTTATTGGGCAGACAAGCTTTTTGAAGTCAAGGCCCCTGTGACCTTGACCTTTGACCTGGTGACCTCAAAGTCAAAAGGGGTCATCTACTGATCATGACTAACCTCAATGCCAAATATGAAGACTATGGGTCAAAGCAATCTTAAGTTATTGGGCGGACAAGCTTTTTGAAGTCAAGGCCCCTGTGACCTTGACCTTTGACCTGGTGACCTCAAAATCAATAGGGGTCATCTACTAATCATGAACCTCCATGCCATATATGAAGACTGTAGGTTAAAGGAATCTTAAGTCATTGGGCGGACAAGCTTTTTGAAGTCAAGGCCCCTGTGACCTTGACCTTTGACCTGGTGACCTCAAAATCAATAGGGGTCATTTACTAATCATGACTAACCTCAATGCCAAATATGAAGACTAAGGGTCAAAGGAATCTTAAGTTATTGGGCGGACAAGAAAAAACCGACGGACAGCCGGACGACCGGACGGACAAGTTGATTCCAGTATACCCCCCCCCCCCCGCCCTTACAACTTTGTTGTGCGGGGGTATAACTACCGACCTGCCGTCGTAAGCTAGAACGTACCGACCTGCCGTCGTAAGCTCGAACTGCCGACCTGCCGTAAGCAAGAAGTACCGACCTGCAGTCGTAAGCTAGAACTACAAACAAGCTGTAAGCTAGTAACACTGACATGCCGTAAGACTGAACCACGGACCAGCCTAGATAATTTGCTTACATGAAAAAATCCAAATTTTAACTCGCTTCACACTATTCCACTATCAAACAGATATTGTACAGGAATGCTTACACGCCACTGAACACAAAGTGGTGAGAACATCTGATTTGAAGTCCGCCCTAGGCTAAGCACTTTGATCTCTTCCAGTAATAATCAAAGCACAGAAGGCGCTGAATTTGTTTGGGTCTCAGAATGTCAGAAAGGTGAAGGTTGTGAGATTATAAAACAATTTGTTTTTGTCTAGTGCCACCAATGCTTTCCAGCGTTTTAATTGTAGTAGATTGGCTATAAGACTAATTGCAACACTGATATTCAATCCAATGTTTATTTGACTTAAACAATTTGAAAAAAAATGAGTTGCCTTACCTGGGATTTGAACTCCAGACCTCTCGCTTCCTAAGCGAGCGCGCAAACACCTAGGCCACGGTGAATTTATATGATAATTGCCTGAAGAAAACCATATTATTCTAAATTAGGGTTTGTGACGACGCTAACTGTTGTGTAAATAATCATGGCGCTTACTATAAGCATGTATATCTATAAAGAATAAAACAATATTAGAAATCTTCGACCATTCGGGAATTATTTTGCTTGAAAAATTAATGCGCCTGTCATGTGACCATATTTACGCAGTGATCTCCCCTGATTTTTTCGGCCTTAGTGTTACATATAAAGGGAAGTTACCGCTTCAAAAAAGCGGACTACTTTCGGCATTTGCAATTAACAGCATTAGAGTCTGAAATTTCGCTACCATTATTTGTTTGGTCTGACGACCCAAACAAATAAAAACCTTAAGAGTCGCATAGATCAAGTTACTTTTAAAATGTCTCTTTTTAGTTCGACTAGTTGAAGAATAGGGGGAGTTATATATACTCACCCTGGCGCAGGTGACACATATAGGATATTTGTTTGTTTTGCATGTAAGATTGAAATATAATTTCACTGAGTGAACACCAGATGCAATATTTTCACGAGTGGCGTAGCAAAGAGTGAAAATATAAAAGCTGATGTTCACGAATGAAATATATTTCAATCTTATATGTAAAACAAATAAATTTTCTTTTTATTTTATGCTTTTTAAGTGATTTAAGTAATTTTTTACTGATTTTGCCGCGTAACGTCGCGCATTTTCCTTTGTGACGTCGTTATATCATGACGTCACATCATAAGTTTTGAAATATAGTTCTGTTAAATTTCTTTAATTTTGTTAATTTTTTAACATGATGTATGATGACATTTACTTTCTTTTCCTAAATAAGCAAATTTACGTATGACGGCATTATTTCTGCCTGTCATTCCATTTGGTTATGATTTTCTTTTCATCCGCATTCAGATATAGTCCGGCTACAGTGAAAATTATATTTTATAAATTTCACTAGTGGTTTATCAGAATATAATCATCTGATATATTGTAATAAAACACTGGAAAGCATGAAATAAACTTTGTTAAAGTTTCTTAGTGTAAGTTGTATCTCCAAAACTACTGAAGAGACTTATTTGAGAGCACAACAGGTGGTCACTGTTCAAGGCCGAAAAATCTACATCATCCATGCTCTTGTTATAGAACGAAGAACTGAGAATAGTCGAGAACACTGTCCTTTTGACAGCTCTTATTAATTATACGAAGAAGTGGCAACAACTCAATGTAGCCATGATTTGCACGATACCATTGAAAAGATTATTGATTTTTTTCTAACCGACAGTCTATTTTCACACGTTTTGCACGTGCAGGTCATGGATTTAAATACATATGGCTTTGTATACTGGTTGTAAACATGGCTGAGTTGCACTATGAGAAGAGCTTATTGCAAAAATTGTGGGTTGTCGGAAATAAAAACGGATCTAGATTAAGTTTATTGAGAAAATGCCCTTTGCCAGGTGGTTGTTAATGTTTACTAATGTTAAGGATGATCCCCGCAATGGGCGGCCAATTTCAGCTTCCCCTGGAAAAGACATCAGCAGTTGAAAGATATACCGTGGAGGAGATAAGTGACATATTGGGTCTTAGTGCGTGATAATTTTTTTATTTTCCATCTTAAACGTACAACGTGTGCGCCCGTTGGATCCCAAATTTATTAACTATTGACCAGAAAACGGAGCATGTTGAAAAAGCATTGGCCTTATTGACTAGTTTTGAAAGATCGAGACCCTGGACGCCTGAGAGAAATTGTCACAGGGGATGAAGCGTGGCTTTATTTTATTTATTATAATTATTATTTTTTGAGTTCGAAAATAAACTCAGTAACAAATATGGTAAGGTGAAAACAGTGATCGCCCAGTTGATGCTCGACGAAGCAGGAGCATTAAGAGTTATGTACGCTCTATTTTTTTTTGACATTGATGGAATAGTGACCCGTGTCGCTGTGCCTGAGAGGGATAGGGTCACTGGAACATTTTACCGTGACCATGTGTTCTCACTGCTGTAGTTTATCACTACAAATGTACATACCAAAGAACCCAGGACCCGGGGTGCGCACGATCAGCTTACTTGATGATGCTACACCTGATCACCTGTCAGCCTCGGTTCAAGCAGAAAATTGAGGTTTTGTTACATCCCGCTTCTTTCTCTTTGTAACTTTTGGTTAAATCCATACATCAAATCGCCGATTCGGAATGGATTCTGAGGCTGGAAAAGTGTGAAGAGGTCGATGGTGAATATTTTGAGGGACTCTATTAATCATTTTTCATAGTAATTAATTATTTATAAAAACGCGCTGCCGTTGCCACTGCCGTTGCCACAGCACGCCTCTTCGCAGATGACTGCCTACTATATAGGACCATCAGCTCTGAGGAAGACAGCATTGCACTACAACAGGATCTTGACCGCCTACAAGACTGGGAGCAAGACTGGTTGATGATGTTTAATCCTGACAAGTGTGAGATGATTCGCATTACCAACAAGCGGAAAGTGATAACTTGGTCCTATGCCATCCATGGCCAAACACTCAAGCAGACGAACAAGGCAAAGTATCTGGGTGTCACACTTGACAATACGCTTTCCTGGAACAGCCATATTGACGCTACTGCAAAGAAGGCGAACACCACCACTGCCTTTCTACGCAGAAACTTATCACACTGTCCACAAAACATCAAGGCGACATGTTACAAAACACTGGTTAGACCTCAGCTCGAGTATGCCTCGTCAGTATGGGACCCACACACCAAGGCCAACATCAGTAAGCTCGAGAACTGCCAACGAAGAGCAGCCAGGTTCTGCACAGGTGATTATCGTCACACCAGCAGCGTTACTGCAATGATGGAAGCTCTAAGCTGGGACACTCTAGAAGCCCGCCGTCAGCAAACCAAAGCAGTGATGATGTACAGAGTCATTAACAGCCTGGTG